TTAATTATGGGTTTTCAGAACCATACATGACCTAAGAAAGAAAAAGAGGAGACTTTCTGACCATGTTAATTGTTGTGATTCACCGAGGCTTGAAAACAAGAACGCTGACTAGGGATTGGCTAGGAGGAGTGGCTAAAAACAAGTGGGAGTTCTGACTGTTCTGATTGGGTAGTTAGCTGACAACTCGGAGTATAAAAAAGAGCTGTCATCTACAGACAAGCAGTTCTGTTAAGTTACTGTTGCTGTTGGTTCCTGTTAATAAATAACATTAATTCATGCCTCAGTTGCCTTGTCCTTGCCTCAGCTATACAACTTAACACTGGCGACGAGATATTTGGCTGAGAAATAGGATGGAAGAATGGCGCCACCTATGTTCGCTTCTTTCGACGCACGATCAGAGTCTTGGGATGCCTACATGGAAAGGTTTGAATGCTTCTTGGAGGCAAATGATTTTACTGACCTTTCCAGCAACAAAAAGAGGGCCCATTTCCTTAACTCTTGCGGCCCTGAAGTGTTCGCAACCATTTGGGCATTGTTTGCTCCTGTCCTAGTAAATACAGTCTCCTGGGACCTGTTGTGTGAGAAGCTTAAAGGCCACTACTCCCCGGCCCCTTCCCGGATAGCCCGTTGTTTTAAGTTGCAACAAGTTTTACAGGAGGAAGGGGAGTCAGTAAACCATTACATGGCTAGGCTGAGAACCACTGCTCTAGACTTCGAGTACAGGGACTTAGATGATGCTTTGGTGGAGCAACTAGTATGTGGGGTCAGAGACATTAGACTGCAGCGGCAGCTGCTAGCTAAAAAGACCCTTGACCTGCAGACCGCTCTTGAAGAAGCCCAAGCAGCGGAGATGTCCGATAAATCCACCGCGGACATTAGAAAGTTCTATCCTCCAAGGGGGCAGGTGACTACCACTGTTAATTTGCAGGACATTGCCTCTGACAGTGTTATGGATGAGGAAGGGGAGGCGGAGATCAGCCGCCTTCAGTCATTGAAACCTCAAGGAAAAGGACCACGGCTGAAGAGGGGCCCTCCAAACTGTTGCCTCAGTTGTGGGGAAGAACACCCAAGGGTGACCTGTCGTTTCAGGTCGGCAATTTGCCGTCGCTGTGGGAAACAGGGCCACATTGTTAGGGTCTGCCGGTCGCTGGCAAAGTCATTTGCTGCTCCAAAACCTCGCCACCCCACGAAAGAGGACTGCTTTTCCATCTCTCGTGACCGCAGGATTACTGAGGTGACCGCTTGTCCAGTTAAACCAGAGAGCGCTAAACTTTCCATGACAGTGAAAATTGAAGGCGCCTCCTGCCCCATGGAAGTGGACACGGGGTCTGCTAAGTTCATCGTTTCCTGGGGAGTATTGAAAAAACTTATACCAACACTGCGAAAGAGCCAGCTGCAACCATGCCCAATCAATCTGCGGGACTATCAGGGCAATTTTATTCCAATCCTGGGGCAGAGTCGTTTTCTTGTAGAATCAGAGGGATTTGTGGGGCGCCTTCCCTTGATCGTAGTTAAGGGGTTCCTTCCTAGTCTATTAGGAATGGATTGGTTTAGCTCTTTAGGATTGAGGATATCTGGTATTCACTCTATGTCGGTGGAGGGGTTTGATGGCCTGTTGGATGAGTTTGCCGATGTTTTCGATGGCACCTTAGGGAAATATGTGGGTTCCCCCATTTCTCTTAACCTAGACCCGAAGGTAGCCCCAATCCGGCTCAAACCCCGCAGAGTCCCTTTCGCGCTCAGGCCAAAGGTGGACGCGGAGCTGGACAAGCTCATCTCCCAGGGGGTCCTAGAACCAACTGACCATTTGAAATGGGAGACCCCTATAGCTGTTCCTATCAAGCCCGATGGCTCTGTGCGCATCTGCGCCGATTTTAAGGGTACCCTAAATAGGGCCTTACAGGCAAATCCCTACCCTGTCCCTGTAGTCCAACATCTGCTTCATTCCCTTGGGCTAGGCTCCATCTTCGCCAAATTGGATTTGGCCCAAGCGTACCAGCAGCTCCTGGTGGATGATGCCTCGGCTGAGGCTCAGACCATTGTAACCCACCGGGGTGTGTTTAAATGTCGGCGATTGCAGTTTGGGGTGAGCGTGGCCCCAGGCCTGTTTCAGAATCTTATGGAGAGGTTGCTCCATGGCCTGACAGGCGTGGTCCCCTACTTCGACGATGTGCTCATCTCCGCATCGTGTTAGAGTGAGCTCATCGAGCGAGTTAGGGCTGTCCTTCTACGCTTCTGCGAAGCTGGCCTCAAATTAAAAAAGAGCAAATGTGAAATTGGTGTTACCCAAATTGAATTCCTCAGTTACCTCATCGATGCTAGCGGAATCCATCCCACTCTGGCCAAGGTGGCTGCAATCAAACACGCAGCCGCGCCTACCTCCCGTGCAGAGTTACAATCTTTCCTGGGGCTGTTAAATTTTTATAATGTGTTTCTGCCCCATAAAGCCACTGAAGCTGAACCCCTTCATCGGCTACTATCTAAGGACACACCCTGGTCCTGGACCAAAGAGCACGCCCACGCATTTCAAGAGGTCAAAGATCTCCTCTCATCATCAGCTGTCTTAATCCAATACAGTGCTACCTTGCCTCTTACATTGACAGCCGATGCTTCCCCTTATGGAATTGGTATGGTTTTGAGCCATAGGTTTCCCAATGGAATAGAGGCGCCCATAGCTTTCTATTCGAGGACTTTGTCCTCTGCGGAGTGCAGATACAGTCAGTTAGATCGGGAAGCCCTGGCTGCCGTGGCGTCCGTTAAAAGGTTCCATGAATATCTTTATGGGCGGCAGTTTGAACTGGTGACAGACCATAAACCCCTTTTGGGTCTTTTGGCAGGTCACCGTCAGACATCACAAGTCCTCTCCCTGAGCATGTCCAGGTGGGTTGCTTTCCTGGCCGCATATACATATACCTTAGTCTACCGCCCCGGTAAACTGATTCCCCATGTAGATGCCCTGAGCCACTGCCCTTTGCCTGCTCCGGTACAAGATCCCGCCCCAACCCCATCTGTCCCTTTGTTAGATGAAATTGCTGTACCGGTGACCGCCACTGACATCGCGGCTCACTCCCTACAGGACCCCGTCCTGTCACAAGTCCTCAACTGGGTGAGCAGGGGTTGGTCATGGGGCCAAGTGCCTGGGCAATTCACTCCTTACCGGGCCCATCAGCACGAGTTGTCAGTGCACCTGGGTTGTCTCCTGTGGGGGCATAGGGTGGTAGTTCCCCCCAAGTTATGGACCAGGTCCTGGAGTGTTTACACGCAGGCATCGTCCGGATGAAAGAACTTAGCCGCAGCTATGTGTGGTGGCCTGCGTTAGACCAGGATGTCTCTGAGTGGGTTTCACGGTGTCAAAATTGTCAGATGGTCGGCCAGCTGCGCTCTCTGCTCCCCCTAGGGAATGGGAAACCCCTAGGGGATCCTGGTCTAGGATCCACCTAGATTTTGCCGGCCCCTATAAGAGACGGACCTTCCTGATCGTGGTAGATGCCCTGTCCAAGTGGGTGGAGTTGGAACTGATGACATCTACCTCCGAGGCCGCCATCCAGGTGCTGCATCGCCTATTTGCCACCCATGGTCTGCTGGATGTAGTGGTAACCGATAACGGGCCGCAGCTAATGTCCGCTACGTTCCAATCCTTCTTAGCAGGGTTAGGGATCTGCCACGCCCAGGTTACCCCTTACCAACCGGCGGGGAACAGATTGGCTGAACGGGCTGTTAGATTGGCCAAAGAGCGCTCGCCCGGATATCACCCGCCAACTGGCAGGAAAAGATGGCCGTTTACTTATCCTCCCAACACACGACCCCTTGCCCTACCACCCACCTATGCCCCGCTGAAGTATTAATGGGTCAGTGATTACATACTGTCTTAGACCGTCTACACCTCACCTATGCCCTAGAGGGTTACTGTTATAACAGGGGGGGTTTTCGGGTACTAAAAGAGGGTGACTTAGTATACGTACGGAACTTCAGGGGTGAGCCACGATGGCTACCAGGACTAATGACTGCGGTAACTGGCACCTGCTCTTACAGGATACTGTTGAATGATGGCAGAATGTGGTGCCGACACGTGGACCAACTGAGGGTACGCCAAACAACATGCCCAATGGTCCCGGACAGGGAAACCTTCTATGAGGAGCCTACTCCCCTGCCAGGTCCAGCTGCCGACCAGCCACCCTCTGCGCCAGAAAATCAAAAGGCGTCTCGGGATTTACCACCTGCAGCCACACCTTCCACCAACCAGGGGGAGCTATCCACAGCACCACCTCCTGGAGCAGAACCTGCCTCTTCTCCGACTGCACCTGCGCTGAGACGATCGACACGAGTGCGTAAGCGCCCGGAATACCTAAAAGACTATGTATGTTCCATCCAGGGGTGAAGGAGTGTTGTGATTCACCGAGGCTTGAAAACAAGAACACTGACTAGGGATTGGCTAGGAGGAGTGGCTAAAAACAAGTGGGAGTTCTGACTGTTCTGATTGGGTAGTTAGCTGACAACTCGGAGTATAAAAAAGAGCTGTCATCTACAGACAAGCAGTTCTGTTATGTTACTGTTGCTGTTGGTTCCTGTTAATAAATAACGTTAATTCATGCCTCAGTTGCCTCGTCCTTGCCTCAGCTATACAACTTAACATTAATAGCCAAGAATACTACAATAGGGACCAGGAAATGCATTACAATTTAATAGATATTAGAGCATTATCAGTCTTTTCTCTCTTCTGCCGCACCCTAAAAACGCTCTTATTCCAACAGGCTGGTCTGGCCTAACTCTCCCTTTTAAATTGGATTTTAAAATGTTTTTTTAGATAAATTGGATGTCTTAATTTTTTTTTTTAAGCCTAAATTATTTAATCTGTTTTTAATAGTTTTTCAACTTTTGTATGTCTTTGTATTTTATCTTGGCTGTTCACTGCCCTGAGTCCTTCGGGAGTTGGGCGGTATACAAATATGATTAATAAATAAATAAATAATAAATAATCTTGATTCATTCCTAGATCATTTTAGAGAGCTGGTCCACAGCTTAAGTTTAATAACATAGGCACAGAAATCAAAGTTTCAGTGAAGAAAAATGTATATAGACAAGTAGCTAAAAGTACTATTTTCCAAAATCTTCTACTATGAATACAGAAACAGAATCTGTCCCCAGAAGACTGATCAAGAATACAACAAATGATTTTTATCATTCTTTTCTTCTAATTAATTGTTCCCTGTTATTCAGTTCTGGTCGCAACACAATGACATAGCATTTTGGGAAAAAAATGCAAATTAGAAGCCCAGCACCGGAGGCTAAGATGGAAAAAATCTCCACAGCCACCATGTATTTCCCCTTGGAGCTCAAATATGCTGGGACAAAGGACAACCAAACACTGCAAAAGACCAACATGCTGAAGGTGATGAACTTGGCTTCATTGAAACTGTCTGGTAACTTCCTAGCAAAGAAAGCTGTGGTGAAGCTGATAAGAGCCAGGAATCCCATATAGCCAAGGACACAATAAAACATGACCACAGAGCCTTCATTACATTGTAGTACAATTTCTTCAGGCACTGAGACCATATCAACATCTGGGAAGGGGGAAGCCATTGACAACCATAAAATACAGATGCTTGCTTGGACGAGGGAGCAAGCAACAACAATGGAACTGGTTAATTTCTTCCCCACCCACTTCCTCATTCTGGAACCTGGTTTGGTAGCCATAAATGCTAGAATCACTGTGATAGTTTTTGCCAAGATAGAAGAAACAGCCACTGAGAAGACCATTCCAAATGTAGTTTGTTGCAAAAGACAGGTCACTTTTCCAGGCTGGCCAATGAATAGAAGTGCAGAAAGGAAGCAGAGCAGGAGAGAGATGAGGAGAATGTAGGTCAGATCCCGGTTGTTGGCTATGACGATGGGAGTGTTATGGTTCTTCACAAATATTCCTAACACCAGAACTGTGACTAGGGAAAAAGAGTGTGCAAGACAGGCTAAACTCAACCCTAAAGGTTCTTTGTAAGTCAAGAAACTGAAAATTTTTGGAACACAGAAGTCTTTTCTTATGTTGGGATAATAGTCATCTTTGCATCTAAAGCATTCGTTTTTATCTAAAAAAAGAAGAAAAGATTTTATGTTTATTTTGCAAGCGTGTCATTAATATGTCCCTTATCTGGCTGGGTCTTAGGAACATAAGAGTAATCCAGATCAAATGATTATATTTTTACCATTCTCAGTTGAAATGCTCCCATCTGGGCATGGGATGCAATCATAGCAGCAAAATGGCTGCCCTTCCTTGACTTTCTTGCTGAAACCTGGATAACAGCTCTCACTACAGATAGAAATAGGCTGCACCTAGGAATGAAAGAAGATAACAATAGTCTGAAGAAGGCATCCATTTTTGTCAACATTTAATGCACACATTAATCTCTTTCTGCTCCATAACACTTTTGCTTTTCTTCATCCATTAATATATTTTGAAAAAATCCCTCTTCCCCATTAATTTATTTAAAGCAGAAAAGGCATGTCATTACTAACTCTACTGCATGCCAATAGTCCTTGGCTTACAACCACAATTGAGAAGAAAATTTCTATTTCTGAGTAAAACAGTTGTTAAGATTAAATTAAAGATTGAATCATGTCAATTTTTTTTGCTACAGTTGTTAAGTGAATCACTTCAGTTGTTAAGTAAATCAAGTGGTTGTTACATTAATCCAGCTTTCCCATTTGACTTTGCTGTTTGGAAACTGCCTGGAAAGGTGTAGAACAAACGAAGTGCATTTAACACCAATTTGCAGCAATAGATGTAATATTAAATAATATACTTTGGTTCCAGACATAATTTGAAGAGGTAGCCATCTAAGCTGACATGAGTAGGATCTCATAATATTAATTGATACCTTAAATGTAATAAGTGATACTAATGGTACTAATGATACTTCTTATTTTAATGGTACTAATGATACTTTTTATTTTAATATTCCCCCAGTGGTCACTTCTGAAGTCAACTCTGCTACTATGAAGATCTGGGTATCAACACTGAAATATGGTATTTGTTAGATCTCACTAGAGTATTTAGGGTTTGTGTAATAAATATGGTAAAAGATGGTGCCTTTAACAGCAAGCTCGTCTAATTCAAGCCACATGCATCTAGTATTATTTATTATGTCCTAAACTGTTCAATCTTTTTAATCTGGTAATTTCATTTAAAATTGGACTATGACTATGAGTAGCCACTTGCTGTTATTACTTCATTGGGGTTCTAATCCGCATCCAACTTCCTTGGCCAGTATGATCTAGGTTAGGAATAATGAAAGAGGTATTACAATTCCTATATTTATATGATCAGTAAAGGCAACAAGAGTGACACAATTATTTCTTATTTAGGCAGTCACTTGATTTATGTGAGCTCTCATTTAGAATCCACATCCTGAAAAGAATTTAGATATATAAATTTCACTATATAAATTTCACTAGTTCACCATCAGTTTATCAGCATGTCATGACTAATTTTACTTGTAATCAAACAAAAACTCTGGTTTGACCAATGCTGCTAGTCCTTGGCTTACAACCACAATTGAGAACAAAATTTCTATTTCTAAGTAAAACAGTTGTTAAGATTGAATCATGTCAATTTTTTTTGCTACTGTTGTTAAGTGAATCACTTCAGTTGTTAAATAAATCAAGTGGTTATTATATTAATCCAGCTTTCCTATTTGACTTTGCTGTTTGGAAACTGACTGAGTAGGTCGCAAATGGTTATCACATAATCTCAAGATCCTGTAACCATCATAAATACCATATCAGATCCTATAACCATCATACATACTAGAAAATCAAATGAATAAAGAAATCAAATACATAAACAAACAAATAAATATTAAGTGTCAAGTGCCCACATTTTGCTCATGTGATTCTTGCTGACATGAGTAGGATCTCATCATATGAATTGACATAAAATTTATTAAACTCCATATTTTATACACATCTAGTATGGTCTAGAACAGTGATGGCTAACCTTTTTGCCGTCACATGCCAAAAGTGGGGGGGAGCGTGGGGGGTCGCGAGTGCGTGTGCCCACATCCATAATTCAATGCATCCACCCTCCCACGCATGCGCACGTGACCCCCCCACACTTCACCCTGCTTTTGGCACGCAATGGCACGGTGGGCCTGGTAGGCCCATTTTTCCCCGTCCCCAGGCCCCAGAGGCTTTCTAGGAGCTTGGGGAGGGCAAAAACAGCCTTCCTCATGCCCCCGGAGGCCTTGCGGAGGGCAGAAACAGCCAGTTTCCTGACTTCTGGTGGGACCAGAAGGCCTGAAAATCAGTTGGCCAGTGCACGCATGAGCGCTGGAGCTGAGCTAGGGCAACACTCGTGTACCCACCAATATGGCTCCGTGTGCCATCTGTGGCACCCGTGCCATAGGTTCGCCATCACGGGTCTAGAAAATAAATAAAAGTCAGAATTAATTTAGAACCAGATGGGATAACTGGACCTTACCTGATTGAACATAATGTGCCATGTAATGAGGTCATCATTGATAGTTAAACCTTGATCTGGAGGAGCTAAGTGATCCACCTTCCCAACTTTTACACGAAGAAATGATTTGTTTGGGAAAGCAATCCAGTTGATAATATCAAATCCTGCTCTTACTATGCCATTTTGGTCAAAGGAGATCTGGTCCCCAGCACTATTGTTAAAAGAGACTCCTCTTAGAAAGTAATGAAGCTGAACAAATAAATAAACCAAATAAAGAAAAATGCAAGAGTTTTTGGAAGGTTAAATTACTCATTCCCATGATGGTAGTTTTCATAGCAGAAGAAAAAGATATACAACTGCATTCTTTGTTCATATCTTTTACATTTATTGTAATTCAATCAAACATGTTAAGGATATTGTTGTTGTGTTACCAACCAGCAGAGTGTAGAGCACAGAGAAACATTGCTGAGGGCAATGAATAAGAGATGTGCAAACTGGTTTATCAAAAGTTTACTTTATAGTGAAAAAACAATCTCATAGTCTTTTAAATCAATCCAAGTCTTTGCCAGTTAAATCAGTCCAGTGATACAAAAATCTTCTTACCACACAAACAGTAGTTGATTAGAATAACAAACTCACTCTGGTTCACAAACCACGATGGTAGCAGATCCATCAAACGATGATAGCACAATGATAGCAACTCCTCACACTATGGTAGCATACCATCAACTGAATAATTACAGTACCTTTCTTAAATACGTTTACAACTAGCGATTATCTAATTACAGCATGACTCAGCATTACAATGAAGCAGCAGTAAAACTTTAAAGTCACACAATACATATTCATATTAAAGTCACAGAACACATATATTGTCTGGACAACTTGTTAGGCTCAAACCATATCCTAACAAAACACATACAGTATAGAACAATAGAGTTGGAAAGAACCTTGCAGGTCTTCTAGACAAGCAAGAGACCTATGCCATTTTAGATAAATGACTTTCCAGGCTCTTTTTTAAAGCCTCAACTGATGTAACACCTACAACTTGACAGCAAGTTGTTCCATTGGTTGATTGCTCTCCTTGAGTCCTCCCCAGTTCTAGGTTGCTTGTCTCTTTGGTTAATTTCCATCCATTGTTTCTCATTTTGCCTATTTGTGCTTTGGAAAGTTGACCCTCTCATCTTTGTAGGAGCCCCTCAAACATTGGAGCACTGGTATCATCTCTCTCTCTCTCTCTCTCTCTCTCTCTCTCTCTCTCTCTCTCTCTAAACACACACACACACACACACACACACACACACACAGAGAGTCAGAGAGACAGACAAACACAGTTTCATAAGAGATTCAGAAGGAAAGAGAGTGGGTTTTCTAATGTTATGCTCACAAATATAAACTTCAACATACTAAACTTCATAAAGAGGAACTCTGAATAGAATTCAAAGTAAAACATTCAGATAGTCACAACGGAAAGGAAATATTGTGACAAAAATATGAGCTGTTATTTCATATTCAGGAGATGGGAAAGCAGTTGAAATGCAGATGCAGGCTTACCAGCATACCTAGATGCATGGTGCTCTGGCAAATGAGGATATTGATTACCTGTAATACCTGTAGGATATCCTGTTTATGGTTTTTTCCTTCTCTTACGACCCCCATCACTCTATGTTTATATCTAGATGTGGATATGGCATGGAAAGCATGAGCTATTGCATAAATACCATTGTAGATACTGTAGCTATGGCCAGTCATGTCTATTTCAAAAATAGGTGCAGGAAGGTTCTTCAGATTCTCTGTCCCAGTACAAATGTCTTCAGGAACATCACTCACAACCTCATCTGAGAATACACAGTTGAAAGCATCTTGCCAAAACTGACTGATAAATCCATTTTCCTTTCTACTGAAGATGGGGTTTTGTTTTGCAACAAACGACTGAAACTCTGGTAGATAAGCAGAGGGCATTGAGAAGCAAAGGGCACCATGGATTATTTCTGTACTCCAGGAACGTTGAAATGCTGAGGCAGTCAGCTCTATCTGGGCTGTCATTATCCACACAATACCTTTTGCTTTAGCACTTGCCTTTTCTATACTTGGTATATATTGCAACCATCTCAAAAATATCATGGTGAAGGACTCCCCATAGATCACAAATGCATTGGCTTTACCACCCATGACTTGATCATAGATTTTTACTCCTTTCTGAAGCATATCATAAAGTCTATCTATATCACTAAATTTGTCAAGTTTTTCAATGAAAGAGTAGCAAATCCCTCTTTTGGAAAAAACTGGAATCACAGTTTGTACAAATTTTTCGCTTTGATCATCATCCATGGTAAGGATCCCAATCCACGTCCACCTAAAATGTAGGAGCAGTGAGACAATCCCTGCATACTGAAGTGGATCTGGAGGAACCATCTGGTAAAAAGTGAGTTCTGGAGATTTTTCATTCATCAATGGAGCTGAGCCATAAATAAGCTAGAGAGAAGTAGGGAAAAACAACAGCAGCATGCATAGAACCCTTACAACGTATATAAAATATATGAAGAATCCTACCAGTACTTACATAAAGCAACCTTCAACATGTTTAGTTGAAATCCTATTTCAGTTCAAGCTGGATTTAGTATATGCATTGTTTTGTCATAAATCCTATGGTGGTGCCTTAAATTTAGAATTTATTGGAACAACTTTTCAAACTTATCACAATGATGTTAAATTGCAATTCTGAAATGTTTTATTGGAATTAAAAATGATTTAGAGAGATTCTGTATATTTTTGAGCCCCTGATCCATGAAAGAACATGGATCCTTCTTCCTTATTTTGCTAAAATTTGGAGATATTCACTGCCGGATAAAGAAAGATGCATTCTACTTTCATTTTTTAGCTGATGTGCAATTCTTTGTGTGATGTTCTGTTTTGGCTTTTACCCAAAGTAAAACCATCAATATTTTGGTTGCTTCATTTTATGTCTTATTTGCTTTGTCTGACTTGTAGAATGTAATATAATAACATAGAATGATTATGTGTCAGAATGGTCAAACAATTGGCAACTCCAGATCTCAACCTACAAATGCTCTGTCTTACACATTGGCAAAAAACATCAGAACACCAAATACTGGAAAAGCTGGGCGGATACGACCTCGTAGACGACTCTCACTCTGTCGAGGACCTTGGAATACTCATCTCTAATGATCTAAGTGCCAGAGTTCACTGTAACAGCATTGTCAAAAAGGCATTAAGAGTTGTTAACCTACTCTTGAGAAGCTTCTTCTTTGGTAATATTGTATTATAAACTAGGGCATACAAAACCTTTGCTAGACCAATGCTCGAATACAGTTCATCCTCTGGAACTACACTGCATATCAGACATTAACACAATTGAGTGAGTCCAGAGATATTTCATGAGAAGAGTCCTCCACCCCTCTGCTCACAACAGAATACCTTATACCAGGCTTGAAATTTTGGGTTTAGACAATTAGAACTATGCTGTAAGGACAATATGTCCTGTAAGGATGTAATTTAGACTGTTTATTAATATAATAAGCTCAAAGCACATGGTTAGATTTTTTAAAATAATGTTGTAGAAATTGAATATAAGAGTTCATTTCAAGCCTAAATAATAATGAAGCATGCAAAAGGTGAGCTGTGTGTGAATGGGAGATTAGGGGGTGACATCTTTAATAAGAGCAAACATTTAAAACGATCCTTGAATCTATATATTTTTAAGTTTGAGGAGAGCCATTCTTCCAGTCATTGGTCTCATCTTTTTTTTTTTTTTGTAGCCCTGCCTTGAAAGGGATGTTAAGAAATTATTCAGCAATATTTTGTTCTGTACCAATCAAAACTATCTAACTGAAAGGTTACAGGATTCATGTATGTTAACTTTCATGCACATAATAAAAAAATAGGATCGCCAACAGGATCGCCGACATCCAATAACAGATATGGCACAAGAAGAAGAAAATACCTGTGGAATTTTATAGATATCCAAGATGGTGGAGATGTGAAGAGAGATTTCAGCATCCAATCCTCCAACAACAGAGACTAAATTATTATGGATGTTGCAGCTGTAGTTGGGAATCAGTCTCTCCACTGATGAGAGAAACAGCATCGTAGCCTGATAAGTCCTTTGAGCATTGTCATAGCTGTCATAAATGTGGAAGCCCAAGGTGAGATTTGGTAAGATTTGAGGGTTTTCATTTATTTCCTTTATAGCAAATGCCATAGCCAGGATGTGTTGGTAATTCTTAGCAACGGGGCTACAATAAGACAATATGAATAGAGCTAAATAACTCCAATGTTTTGCTTCAGAATGCTTCATTCTCTGCACAAATTGACAGCAATGTATAACTTTTTCCCAGGTAAATATACAGGTGAAACTCAAAACATTAGAATATCGTACAAAAGTTCATTTATTTCAATAATGCAACTTCAAAGGTGAAACTAATATATGAGATAGACTCATTACATGCAAAGCAAGATAGTTCAAGCCTTGATTTATCATAATATTGATGATTATGGCTTACAGTTTAGGAAAACCCCAAATTCACAATCTCAGAAAATTAGAATATTACATGAAATCAATAAAACAAGGATTGTACATAGAACAATATTGGACCTCTGAAAAGTATAAGCATGCAAATGTGCTCAGTACTTGGTTTGGGCCCCTTTTGCATCAATTACTGCCTCAATGCGGCATGGCATGGATGCTATCAGCCTATGGCACTGCTGAGGTGTTATGGAAGACCAGGATGCTTCAATAGCGGCCTTCAGCTCTTCTGCATTGTTCGGTCTCATGTCTCTCATCTTTCTCTTGGCAATGCCCCACAGCTTCTCTATGGGGTTCAGGTCAGGCAAGTTTGCTGGCCAATCAAGCACAGTCATTCCATGATCATTGAACCAGGTTGTGGTACTTTTGGCAGTGTGGGCAGATCCCAAGTCCTGCTGGAAAATGAAGTCGTCTGTGGAAGGAAGCATGAAGTGCTCCAAAATCTCCTGGTAGACGGCTGCGTTGACCCTGGACTTAATGAAGCACAGTGGACCAACACCAGCAGATGACATGGCTCCCCAAATCAACACAGACTGGAAACTTCACACTGGACTTCAAGCATCTTGCAGTGTATGCCTCTCTATTCTTCCTCCAGACTCTGGGTCCTTGGTTTCCAAATGAGATGCAAAAGTTCTCTCATCAGAAAAGAGGACTTTGGACCACTGAGCAACAGACCAGTTCTTTTTTTCTTTAGCCCAGGTAAGACGCTTTTGATGTTGTTTGTTGTTCAGGAGCGGCTTGACAAGAGGAATACGACATTTGAAGCCCATGTCCAGGATCCCTCTGTGTGTGATGGCTCTTGATGTACTGACTCCAGCCTCAGTCCACTTCTTGTGAAAGTCTCCAACAGTTTTGAATGGCCTTTTCCTGACAATCCTCTCCAGGCTGTGGTCATCCCTGCTGCTTATGCACCTTTTTCTTCCACACTTTTCCCTCCCACATAATTTTCTATTAATGTGCTTTGATACAGCACTTCGAGAACATCCAACTTCTTTTGCAATTACCTTCTGAGGCTTTCCCTCCTTATGGAGGGTCTCAATGATGGTTTTCTGCACAACTGTCAGGTCAGCAGTCTTTCCCATGATTGTGATTCCTACTGAACCAGACTGAGAGACCATTTAAAGGCTCAGGAACCCTTTGCAGATGTTATGGCTTAATTAGCTGATTAGAGTGGGACACTTTGAGCCTAGAATATTGAACCTTTTCACAATATTCTAATTTAATCTAAATTTTTCGAGTTTCACCTGTAAATACATATATATATGGACATCATCCATGAAACTTTATTAGGTAACAGACAGAAGGATGGGGATAAAAGCATTTGTATATGTGAATACTTTTATAATTATTTGCACTGATTATATAAATGAACTCAATTATATTTAAAATAAGGAAATATTACAGGAAGAAAAAGAAGAGGTTTAAATTAGATGTCTACTATCTAAGTAGATACCATTTTCTATCCCTTGCTTCAATTCCCACACATTTTCAGAAAACTGGTAAAGAGAGTCACAAATAGAAGAAACCTAAGGTTTGGATATGTTGATTGAAATGTGTGAATATTTTCCATACTATATTTCTCAGTATCTCCTTAGTGTTAGCAGGTGTAATAGGTTTATGTTATAAGATATCAGGGCTAGATATTACTATTTTCGATGACTATTTAATTATCTAAAAGATAATTAAAAGTACAGCTCCTTACATAAAATCTCCAGGCACTGCTGATGGGGGAGGTTCAGTTAAGCTGATTTGTTTGAAGACAATTGCAGCCTGTGAAACAATGCCACCAATCATAAGGTCTCCCAGATAATGGTATTTGTGAAATGGAGTGTGTGGATTAAAGATGCTGCACCTGTCACTCTTGCACACCATGGGAGGAAGTAGTATTAGCAGGAAAACTAATAAGAATGCCATCCTCTGTACAAAGGCAAATGGCAAGATTCTCTCTTCTTCTAAGGCCCAGCCATTACCCTATCTGTGGTTAATACTGCCCGACTTGAATGGTGCCTCAATCTCTTGGTGAAGTCTGAACCTTGGACTGCCTAGCATTAGAATTATGGATTCTTACCTGTCCATAATCTTGTCTCTTCTCTGTGGCTCTAAATGGCATCAGAGTTTATGCATATATATCTCAAGAGAGAAAAAGAAGAAAGCAACAATCTTAGTGTGAGTTTTGTTAGTGAGCATGAATTCCATGGTGAAGGAGCAGAATAAAATGCAAATCTTTAGCTTCGAAACAGAAAGGCTATTATTAAGTCATATGTCCGTTCCCAAAGGATTTGCTGATGAAATAGAATTCCCTATAGGTTAGCAAAGAGGGATATGTCTAATATTGTCTCACTTGGACAATTTCTATTTAAATGTTTCTGACAGACATTCATATCTGCAAAGAAAAAAGAAATGGCTTTATCTTAGAAAGATGATGAAATAGAATTTAGCAAAATGCTGAGAAAAGATTCTATAGATCAGGAGTCCCCAACCTTTTTTGGTTCTGCGGACTGGCAGCAGTGGCTTTAGCGCAAGGGGGATAATGTTTCATGCACGCAGCCTAAATCCCGTGTATGATCAAATGAAGGTTTGGGTATTCACTTGCTGCTTTGGCAGCCTGGTTCCCAATGGGTCAGGCTCTGATAGCAGGCCACAGCCCAGAGATTGGGGATCCCTGCTATAACTAGAAAGTACAAATTCTATAAAAAGAAAATATGGATTATATACATAGAAACTATTGAATGAGGGCAACTGGAGCTTGCTGTAGTGCATCTCAAGGGAACATTCAAGGTGCAAGGTTTTTTTTTTTTACTGTTTTATGATTGTTTAATAGCATTCATTCATTCATTCATTCATTCATTCATTCATTCATTCATTCATTCAATTTACTTATTCAATTTATTCCCTGTCCAGGGTAACTCTGGACAGTTTCATTGTTGCTGTAAAGTGTAAACTGTGTCCAGGGTATCTTTAGATAGGCAGCCATACAAATTTTATAAATAAATAAATGATGTTTTCGGGGATTGATGCTAAGGACTGGAGGAAAACAAAGCTATTCATGCCATCCCATTTGTTACTTTTTATTATCTTAATGTGTTAAGGAAAGATGACTGAAGACAGACTCTGCTTTGTTGCCCTGAATGGAAGTCATGTTCTCCATATGAGCTTGGATCTTACTTTACTAGTGCCCAAATCATGCTTGCCTTTGCATATTATGAATTCAGCTAACCTTAGAACCTTTAGCACAATGCATGGAGAAAGGATCAAGGCCATTATCTGCACCACTTTTGTCCACCTCTTTTGTCCAGTTTGAAACCTTCCAGCTGCTTCAGTGTCTTGCTTTATGCAAATTTACTTTTTGTGAGGTTTTGGGAGAACTTAGCTGTAGCATATAAAATAGAAGCTGACATATGAATATAGTTTAATTCATTAATTCTATTATAAAGGTATCAGTAGAAAAAAAGTAGAAATCATTCAGCTGGATGAACCAGGTGCCCTATCTTTCATATTTATTATTTACTTTGAACACTTATACCTGCATTTGACCATAATAATGCAAGACATTATCGACTAAGCAGCCTTTAAGCTGTAAAATAAGCAGAGTGAACTTTCCTTTAACACAACAGGCTAAGTGTTAATTTAAGTGTATTCATTAGCCTATTTCTTTATATACACTCTTCTGGTATGTTGAAACCACAATGATAATGATAGCCTGGAGTTCTGGAAGTTGATGTACTGACTTGTGTAGAGGACACCAGGTTGGAAATATAATTGTACTGTAAATGCCAGTTCATCATTCTTGTTAGAAAAGTAGTTCTATATCTCTGCATATGAATATAAATCAGAGTAATATCATATTCATACTGGGGTGAATGTATTTGAGCTGTCATTCAAAGTGAGAATTTTACTTGAATACTGATTTAATATAATGAGAAAAAGGAGAGGAGAGGAAGGGAGGGAGGGGAAGGGAGAGGAGGAGAGGAGAGGAGAAGATGGTAGCATCCTCACAGAATACTGATATATAATAGAAATATATTCTAATATATTCACTTTATATCCTTCCACTATGTAACAGAAGGGAGAAGAAAATTAAAAAAAACAAAAACACTCCAACCTTTGTTTTCCTCTCAGCTAGTCCCCTGATGTTTCAAATGCTCACACCAGTACTGGATAAATAACAAGAATGGAATTAATGTTTGTATTTACATTTATTGGAGAAGAAGGGATGAAAATAAAATATATATAGGGATTCAATGGAGAATGCACATTGGAAATAATGCAATGACACTGGCATTGATGAGCATACTTGGCAAACTGGTGTATTCTTAATTGTAGCCTAGTTTCAGCTAAACATCTTTGAGATCTTTACCAAAAGGTATTTATGAAATCATATCCCTTATTATTGGACGCAGAGCAAAAATAGGGAATGATGGACCTAGGTTTTATTGAAAGAGCAGAAAATGCTATAGCCTACATAAAAATATGTACATCAATGAAGAGATGTGATGGCTCAGTGGCTAAGATGCTGAGCTTGTTGATCAAAAGGTCAGTAGTTCAGCAGTTTGAATCCCTAGTGCCACATAATGGGGCGAGCTCTCATTACTTGTCCCAGCTTCTGCCAACCTAGCAGTTCGAAAGCATCTAAAAATTCAAGTAGAAAAATAAGGACCACCTTTGGTGGGAAGATAACAGTGTTCCATGCGCCTTTGGTGTTTAGTCATGCTGGCCACATGACCACGGAGATGTCTTTGGACAGTGCTGGCTCTTTGGCTTTGAAATGGAGATGAGCACTGCCCCCTAGAGTCGGGGACTAGCACATATGTGTGAGGGGAACCTTTACCTTTACATCAAATCAATCAATCAATCAAACAAACAAACAAACAAACAAGTCATTATTTCATTTAGTTTTCTGGGATAGAAAGTTTGGAATTAGCATAAAACACAGGAACACACAAACAGGAAAAAGAAGACATGAAATCATTGAGAAAAAGTGTAACTATTTATAATGTTTAAAAGGCCAGACATTGAAAACTTCAGAAGAGTTCTTCACCAACTGGGAGATGGTTAAAGAGGATATGAAACTGACCTTCCTCAGAAGAGTCTTCTTGAGGGTAATATGCCAGGTTTGGAATGACTAATACTATAATGACCTCTTACTGGATGATGGGATTTTTTTTCCAGTCTTGCAATGCTGACTTTGGTGAGGTGACAGAAGGATTGGTAAGGACACTCTTGATCCCTGATAGGCTTTAGTTGCTTTAGGATTGTGTCTTCTTGACAATATTTATGTAATTTAGTTATAGTTTATATAAACTACAGTTAGTTATACCTATAATTTAGTTATAGTAATAGGGTGGCACAATGGCTCAGTGGTTAAGATATGGACCTGTAACCTGGAAGGCCTAGGTTCGAGACTGGAGCATTGTGCAATGGGGATGAGCACCTGTCTTCACCTAGCTCCTGCCTACCTAGCAGTTCAAAACCATGCAAATGGGAGTAGCTAAATAGGGTACCATTTTGGTGTGGATGAAACAGTGTTTCACAACTTCATGCTGGCCACATAACCATGGAAATGTCTTCAGACATTTTGAGGCTGTGAGGCTGGCTCACAGCCTCAAAATGGAGATGAGCACTGCCCCATATACTCAGCAATGACTAATAGAGTAAATTTGCAAGGACTTCTTTCCCTTTCCTTCCTTAGTTATAGTTAGTTAATGAGAAAATGCAGCTGAAACAGGCCAGCACATGAACATAGTCTGTTATAGTACTAACAGGCTATGTTCACTAGTTGACTGATTAAATTGGTGTTTGAAAATCCTTTATATAGTAGGGGAGCTTTTATCTTCCACCCACAACCCTTTTACATTTTCCCACAAACCTTTTTAAAATGATGCTAGGAAAAAGTGTAAGTTTTTTTTTATTAGTCGTACTGAGGTTAAAGAATAAGCTTGAGAGAAAAAAAAGTTTCTCTGTGTGTAGATAGAACAAAATAAGACTTGGAATGCAAAGACACAGACCAAATTAAACTATAATGAAATAATACAACATTTCCTTACATTATTTCAAGTATATTGATATTTTTCACTGTCAGAAACATTTTTTTGAAACTTTCCATTTTTAAATTGCTATTAGGAAAATGACATTTTAATTTTCCACATTTTCTGACTTAGGATTCAATATTTACTTTAGCTGACACTTTAGACTGATAGTGTAATTGCAAAATTCATCTTATTTGGGCGCCTAAATTGAAAGTTATTATTTAAAATGACTGCATTTTTGCCAAAATTGAAAATCCATTTTCTCAGGGTTCAGTTTTAAGTGTTTTTCCTGATATCAAAAGATGAAGAAAATATTAGATTCTCTATAACTGTATATAAAAAGAACTGTCACAATTAGAGCCATGAATATAGAATATTTTTCAGTCCTTGATGCTCTCTGAGATTGGTTGCAGACATTTTATTAACCAACAAGGTAACAATATCAGTACAAACAACCAAGTTCAGAGAGCACCAAGGATTTCATAGTTCAACCTTGAACTACATATATTGTTGTCTATTGAAACATGGTATTATCAGATATTCTCAAAAACTTGCAGATAAAACTTTGGGGACAAGAAACAATTCTTTTTTACCCCCAAATGACCTTAGTTGTCATTAAGGAGCCATGGTGGCTCAGTGGTTGAATACAGTATTGCAGGTTAACTCTGCAAGGTTAACTCTGACCATAGCCAGGATTCAATCCCGACCAGCTCAGGATGGATTCAGCCCTCATCATTCTAAAATAAGTAAAATGGGGACCTAGATTGTTGGGGGCAATATGCTGACATTGTAAACTACTTAGAGAATGCTGGGTAGCACTATATAAATCCAAGTGCTATTGCTAATGCTAAATATCTTTATATTTTTCAGGATGAATAAGATAGTTTCAGAAGCTGTCAGGTGCAGACTATTTATCTTTGTGGAATTACACATTACACCATATTCTTTATCACAAATTTAAGACTAGTGTTATACATAGATATGTAAAATGAGCAGGTCAGGGGTATTCTGCAAAGCAGACATAAGTTGATGAAAAAAGAGGCTGCTTTTACAATTTCAAAAGAGGAGCTTTGTCTATACATTATAAGTGTTTTAAAGAATTTCT